AGCTACATCACAGATTGAGGTCCATCAGCAGGGTGTGTTCCGTAGGTCTTCTGCTGAGGATTTAGTGGGTATGGCTGGTAGATTAGAGGATGACGGTTTTGTCCGAGTCACAAGAAAGAAACACCCACGTGCTACTGATACTCCACATCCGAGCAGAAGGATCACCAGGAGTCAGTCACATGATACCTCTTCACATTCTCCATCCCTATGAGTGCCATCATTTGGAATGTGAGAGGTGTAGCTAGTGTAGCTACTCGTCGGCGCCTGAAGAAACTTATACAGCTTCATCAGGTTTATCTGTTAGTTTTACTGGAGCCCTTTGTTCTTCAACACAGCTTTGCATATATTCGACGTTATCTGCGCTTCGATACGGGAGCTCAGAATGAATCGAATAAGATTTGGTTTTTCTGGAACTCGTGGACTAATGTTACTATTATTGTTGATCACCCCCAGTTTCTTCACGTTAAAGTTGAGGACCCCAGATTGGGTCTTCCCATCTATTTTACTCCAGTTTACGCTTCTTGTGATCCTTCTGTCAGGAGGGATTTGTGGGCGGGTCTTCACCACATCTCCCTCGATATGGAGGACCCTTGGATAGTTGGAGGAGACTTTAACGTTATTACTCATGATGGAGAGCGCACGGGTCATAATACTCGTGATCGAGGCACTACAGCTTTTTCTGATATGATGTTGGACAGTGGTCTAGAGGATGCAGGTTTCCTGGGGAATCGATACACTTGGACCAATGGGCAGGTCAGGAAGAGATTGGATAGAGTACTCATTAATTCTTCAGCTGCAGCATTTTGTCGACAGCTTACAGTGAAGCACTTGAATAGGACTTCATCTGATCACTCACCTTTATTACTTCAGTGGACTTCTGATGATGACTTGGGGCCTAGGCCTTTCAGATTCCTCAATGTTTGGACCAAGCATCATGATTTTTTAGCATTTGTCGCTCAGAAGTGGTCACTCCCCACTCATCTTACGGGGATGGCCGCTCTTTGGGAGAAATTCTTCAGGATGAAACAGGGATTGCGCTGGTGGAATCGACATGTGTTTGGAGACATTTTCCAGCGAGTGAGGGGTGCTGAGGACAGGGTTGATGAGGCAGAAATTGTATTTGACAGTGACCCTACACCGGAACATCGTGACATACTGCATCCGGTTCAGGCAGCTTTGAACCAGACTTTATCTATTGAGGAGGGCTTCTGGAAGCAAAGGGCTGGCTCACGTTGGGTATGTGAAG